CTCCATGTCACCCCAACACAGCCTCCAGTGTCCCCCTGTCACCCAACACAACCTCCTGTGTCCCCGTGTTACCCCAACACAACCTCCTGTATCTCTGTTACCCTGACACAACCCCCTGTGTCCCTGTGTCACCCCAATACAACCACCTATGTTCCCATGTTACCCAAATACAACCTCTGCTCCCCTGTCACCCAACACACCCTCCTGAGTCCCCATGTCATTGGCGGTGAAATGAGAATCTTGCTAGTACTGACCTCACAGGCTGGATTGGAAAGCGTCTGCTGCACCTGAGGAGCTCATGCACAAAAGATGCTCCATGGAGCACACAGAGAAAACAGAGTGTTAGAAGAGCAACACAGAAAAGCATTTACTGTTCACTTTCATAATACCATCTCAAAAATAAAAAAAAAGAGGCAAAGAAGAAAGAAAAAGAAAAGAAATAAAGTATGGAGTGTAACTGAGGAAAACACCGAACCTTGATTTCTGGCCTCCATACACACACATACGTACTTATATGCATATACATACAACACAGATATATATGTACACATATACCACACATAAAATTAATGTTTTTTAAACAAAAAACTCTCCTTTTGGTTGCCACTATATATTTTTACCCATCATAGACCTATTTATCCTCTTATTCTGTGAATCCAAAGCTTGTTCTCTGTACCAGGAACCTTTTAGCACCTGAGGATAGAACAGCAAATAAGATAGGACACAATCCTGATCTTTGTCAAGATGCCTGTCAGCCTTCCGAAAGCTAGAGCACATATGAAACTCCATTTTGTGTTTCTTCTCAACATTCAAGTCATTTCCCCACTTGAAAATGAACACCATCATTCTCCTACATGTCCCTCTAACTGCCAGGCGTGGTTCCCCTCACACCTGTCCAGAATTCCCCAGGACAGACGCTCGCTAGTTCTCCACATGGCGTCCAAGCGCTGTCTCCTTTCCCTATGGCCACCTTGTCCACACCATCATCATCTCCTGCCTGTAAGCTTCCAGTGCCTTTCTCATTGACTTCCCCGTTTTGTCCTTGTTCTCCTCCAGTGCATTCTAGCAATGCAAACAATTTGTGACGTCTTCTTGATCTGTCATAACCAGAGTGGAACCACATCCAGGTTCAGCTTAGTCACCAGTGTACACTCAGCAAGTTATCAGGAGCCTAGAACTCACAAGGTGTTGAACCCATTTTCCTGAATTAGAAAAAAACACATTAGCTTCATTTTACAGAGGAACATGGTTCGCTGAGCTTATGACTTACCCCAGTTGAACTAGTAACTGATGAACAGATATGAACCATTTCTCTCATTCCAACATCTACCCTCCTTACACAACATAGCACACCCTTGTTCTGCGAAAGCTGGAAAATCAAATTTTTATTTATTCCTTTATTTAACAGAATAAAAAATGTTTTTAGTCCTGGTAATGTGCCAGCACTTGCTGATGTTGAATTTGCAATTGGACAAGGTTATCTCTGCCTCAAACCTTGTTTGCAGGTTTATCACCTTCAGCGCCATCAGTGGGACAGATAATTATTTTTTGTGGGTTCTGTCCTTTGTCTTGCACTCTGTCCTTTGCCTCTAATCCACAAGAGGCCAGGAGAGTTCCCCAAGCTGTTATTGCTTACCCAGACTCTCTCTAAATGCTGTTTGTGAACTCTGAGGACATCTTATTTAGCAGAAGAGTCATCAGTGAGACAAACTTTGTATGGCAGGGGCCAAATACCATGGATGAAAACAGTCTTAGAGCATGCCAGGAGAATACTGGATGTGGATGTTGTTTTGAACATCTGAATGTGCTAAAATGTCATCCCAGAGGTTAATGCTCAGGAACTAGGCAAAGTTTCAGTCGAGAGTAATGGTAATTCAGAAGTAAGAAGAGATGGAGATTCTCCAGGTAGACATTCAGAGCTCATCAAAGATCTGAATACCAGATAGTTGTGTGACACTGAGCATGACCAGACTTCCCTGGATTTTACGATCAGATGTTGGAATCCAGGACTTGTATCTGCCAAGAGACAACATTGATTTTACATTTCCATCCCCCATTGATCTATTTCCAGTTTTTCAAATCCAGGCGTGGAGATTATGTGTCTGCACATAATCAGGGACTCTTGCTTTCCAAGGAAATGGCTGTCAGCAGCTTCTCCACTCTCCTCTAAGAACAGGGCCTGGATTATGTATGCACTGGGGGTCCATATGCAGAAGGGCAGAGATGAGTGTTGAGTTTCAGTTACCAGCTTTGCTTTGCATTTCATTATCCTGTGGGGTCTTGGATTTCAGGCAACCCAATTAAGGAGTAAGCTGAGCATCCTCTTTGCTGGAGGAAGAATTCCGTAAGCCTCTTAGGTGCGGGGGCTGAGGCTTCTGTGCCAGTGTATCTGGATTCCTGAGACAGTCTGAAGTGTTATCCGTGACCAGCGGGCTGTTAAATGACTGTGGCCAAAGCAATTCAGACTCTTAGGAATAGCTGTGAAGCATCTGGCTTCCAAGAAAATGAATCCTAAATCTCAGAACTGCTAGCGGAAGAGGATCTTCTTCTTATCCTTCTGGTGATCAGAGGTTGTGATGAAATTTTAAGTCAGGACAAAGTGGCTGTCATTAATTTTGTCCTCATTTAGTTGATATATGTTAAAGATCTCCACATTTTAGCTTTTACCAAGGCAGAGTGAGCTCGGAGACAAGCATTAAGTAAATATAAAATGCTATATAAATAAATCCCCTAAGCTCATCTCACTTCATATATATTTTTAAACTAAAACACAAAACCCTGCCTTTATGCCCAAGGGAATTACATTGATCCTTTCCACACATGCCATCAGCCTTCTAATGCATCTACGGGAAGAGGATTATTTTCCAATATAGCGATGACAGCCAGTGTTTAGTGGAGGCTTCCTGTGTCGTAGATGGGGATAAGTACTTTCCATGCATTATCACATTTAACATATAATAAGCCCTGTGAATACAAATAGAAGGTCACCATCTTGCTCGTAAGGAATCTGGCAACCAGAAAAAAAGTGCAGTTATGTGTCCTAGGTCAGTCACATGGGTTATCAAGTTGGATCCACCCAGCATCATTTTGACCTGAAGTTCATGCCTGAGGGATGCTAGCTATCCAGAAGCACCAAGTAGGGGCTGTTTCTACTTCATGACTTTGTAGGGAAAAACTGGTATGAAAATGCACAGTCTTCATAAAATGTGTTAAACATCAGACAGAGGAAATCACATGTCTTTGGGGGAATCAGAGCACTGAATTTTCACGAAGGCATGTTTAGCTATAGTTTAAAATGACATGTAATAATGAGGTTGACTGACATGGCAAGAAAGGGCACTGGCAAACAAGAGAAAGCTTGTGCATCTTGGGAGTGGAATGTAGAACAGAATACATATGCTACAAATGGTCAGGCGGCTCAGCTTCAAAGGCATGTGCCAACAAGGTCAGATGGACCTCCAGGACCTACACTGTAGACGGAGAGAGCTAATTCCTTCAAATTGTTCTCTAACCTCTACATGTACACAGTGATACACATGGTTGCATACACACAGCATAAATAAACCCAAAATATTTAGTGTAATGTATAGTTAGAGGAGAAACATTGTACTGAAACAATGTTTATGAAATCCAGTGTTGAAATGGAGTTCAGCAAGAGCTTCTCTGTAGAGAACCTTATGGTCTTCATACCTGGTTCCAGGTTAAACGCGCTCACAATATTGGGTCAGGGATGAGTTTGTTACATTAGTAATGGAAAATGATGCCAAATTTTGATTGGAAGTTAGTGATTTACAAGTGTACTTTTCCTACCAAGGCTCATGAACCCCCTAGGTTCTATCAGAGGAATCTGTTTGGTTAAAACAGGTTAAGGGTCCCTGCTTTGTGTAATTTATGTCATTCATTTATATTTGATTCATTTATGTGTGATGAGAATTTGCCTGTGCCCATCACTATAAAGAGAAAAGGGCAGTTACTGATATAGAGAGGAGCATGAGGAAAGGAGAAATTTTGTTGTTTGTGACTATACGTCAGTAACTCAGTTGTATCCATGGAAGGTCCATTCCAAGCAACTGCAAATAATATTAAATCCTACTGACGTTGTGTCTTTTTCTTATACATGCATACTAAGATGAGGTTTAATCAATTAGGTATTTTAAAGACTAATAAAGATAACCAGTAAACAATTATGAAAACATGTGAGTGTGCCCCCCTCCTCTCACTTTACACCCCCACCCAACGAGAGTGGAATTTTTAGAGTGGTTGTCTGCCGGTCCTTGAAGTTGTTATGGTAAAGGATACTGTTGTGTGTCTTGCCCCGGGTTTAGGTTCCAGATAAGCATAGATGGAAATCCAAGGACATTGGAAATTCTCTCACAATGTAATCAGTTGTAAAAACTCTTAGCTAAAATTAAGATTTGAGTCCCAGCCCCCATTAAATTACTATCTGCTGTACCAGGTTAGCTCCCTACACGCAAAGTTCCCAAGCAAATTCAGGTTGACTCCCTAGACGTACAATTCCCATGCACCCTCAGGTTGACTCCCTAGGAGTAAAGTTCCTGTGCATCCTTAGCTTAGCCCTCTAGGCACACAGTTCCCATGCACCCTCAGGTTGGCTCCCTAGGCACACAGTTCCCATGCACCCTCAGGTTGGCTCCCTAGACACACAGTTCCCATGCACGCTCAGGTTGGTTTCCTAGATGCACAGTTTCTATGAACCCTCAGGTTGGCTCCCTAGGCACATAGTCTCTGTGCATACTCAGGTTGGCTCCCTAGGCATACAGTTCCCATGCATCCTTAGGTTAGCCCTCTAGGCACACAGTACCCCTGCATCCTCAGGTTGACTCCCTAGGTGCACAGTACCCCTGCATCCTCAGGTTGGCTCCCTAGGCGCACAGTTCCCCTGCATCCTCAGAAGGGAATGTGAGTCTTTGTGGAGGGGTGGGAAGTTACAAGAACCTGCACTGAAGGAGGAAAATTGTTCACTTTTGCTTATTTTGTAGCCAAAAGCTGGGTCTCTTGGATCGGGTTCGCCTTTCTAATCCTCGTGGTAGCAATACTAAAGGAAAGCTATTTACCCCTCTGAATGTAGATGCCATAGAAGAAAGCCCTTCTAAAGAACCAAAACCCGTGGGCTTAAACAATAAAGAGCGTTTCCGCACCGCCTTCCGCATGAAAGCCTACGCTTTCTGGCAGAGTTCTGAAGGTAACATCCTTCTCTCTCTCTCTCTCTCTCTCTCTCTCTCTCTCTCTCTCTCTCTCCTCCTCCTCCTCCTCCTCCTTCTCCTCCTCCTCCTCCTCCTCCTCCACCTCCTCCTCCTCCTCTACCTCCTCCTCCTCCTCTTCCGTCTCCTTCCTCACCTTCCCTCCACTGAAGATCTCCTACATCCACAAAGCAATCTCTCTCTCCCATCCCTCCCTCAACTAACATCTTGCCTCACTTGGTTTGTCTCTCGTGGGCTGAATGCATCAGTGACATAGTTCATGACTCGTAAGTGAAGATGTTTCCCAGTGAGTTAGGCTATCCTCACCTCTGCTATTCTGTGCAAACCTTTCCAAGGAGTCTTAGTATCTGCACTGTGCCTTGAGAGGGAAACCATGATGAGGGCAACCGGAAAGATGCAGAGAAGCAGGTACAGCATCTGGAAAGATGCACACCACCACCACCCCCAGGGATGGAGAAGAGGGTCAGAAGCCATGCCCTGCGTGTACTATAGGAATGATGGCCTCAAGCACATCTCTCACTTAGCAGAATGGAAGACAAGGAGGAAAATGTTCTAGGTGTTTGAATCCACCAAGCCCTTGACACTCACCGTGTTGTTCCTGCCTCTCTGACACCTCCAAGTTTCAAAAGGGTCAGAAAGTGACCTCCCAAGGTCACGAGCAGTGTTACTGACAGGACAAGAATTTCAACTCAGGTGTGTCTGAGTCTGAGGACCACACCTGTGTTTTTTGCTGCTCACGTGATCACCCACACCTGCAGATCCCACCAGAATTGCTTGCTGACCTTCTTCTCCAAGCCAGTTCTGACCTAGGCATAGCTCTGACTCAAACTTCTGTACCTCAAAGTGGGGATGCTAAGGAAGGATAAATGGTATCACAGTTGGGGGTCCACAATGTGGGGTGACTAATATACATATTGGAGAATCTGGTTCCACAGTGGTCTTTCATATTTTCCATTTATGATGGATTAAATTAACATATACGTCTCCCTCACAGATGCTGGGACAGGCGATCCCATGGCAGAAGACAGGGGCTATGGGAATGACTTCCTCATTGAAGACATGATCCCCACCCTAAAGGCTGCCATCCGAGCTGTCAGGTAATGGCACCTCTCCCAGCTACATATATTCTCAGGCACCGACTTCATGCCCATGGGACACAGATGATCAAGTGCCCTTGGGTCTTGAGAAGGAGACAGAAGCCTCTTCCTGGTCACCTTAAGCCGGGTCCCATGGCTACTTCATCCTTTGTGGAGAACACTACCTTGAATACAATGATTCCTCCTGAGACAGTTGACCTCCTGACAATGCATCCATCCAGAACACATCTTTCTGGTTTTAACGAGCATTTACTATGAGGGCTGTTAGGGTGGAAGATGTAGAGACATGGTGCTTTCCCTCAACCTTCTCCTAAGTCATTCAGTATAGCTCTTCTTCTGCCTGTACCTAGCCATCTATTCTTTTAAATCAACATCTTAATGTGATAATAAACTATAGATATTTTTGTATGATTAAAAGACGATAATATGCTCTAGTTTGTTTCAGACTCCTTCAGGAAAATCAAGAGAGTATGTTACTTATTAAAGAAAATATAACACAATATAGGTGTGTTCTCACTTTAATGAGTGGCAGAAATGAGTTACGATCTTTTCAGCAAGATTTTCTATCCAATAGGCCAGGGAACAGAATAGTTTTGTAAGATGTGGACTCCAACAAAGGCTTTGGTGTGGCTCCTCACTGTTCCATATAAGACAGAAAGGCAGTTAGGTAGATGCATCTGTTACATTTGTTGCTGACTGATCAATTTCATCCCCCCCCCAAAAAGCCCAGTTATCAAACCAATCCAAAGGGTGCTCTGCTGATGCTGAGATACTCTTGCTCCCATCTCTGCACACCAAATTTGTACCATCTTTCAGATGTCTTAATTCAAGAATGGTATATATATATATATATCAGTATTGTAGGTTTTGTGATCCCTTGATCTTCATCTCAAGAACTCAGGGTTGCCATCTTAGCATATAAAATCACGCATGTCTTAAATGAGGGAGCATTGACTGGGTTCCATTAGAACATTCTGGTCAAGCACAGGCAGTAGGCAGATCTGACCTCTGAGCCACCACACTTCAGTGACTCTGCTTCAAGTAGAGCTAGGTAAAGGGCAGGTGTAAATTCTGTGTTGTGATGAGGAAACTAGTCTATATGCCCAAATTGTCTTTAGAAGCTGTGGTTGTGGTTTAAGACAAAATGTACTTGAACTCTGCCGCTCAAGGGGCATATGAGAATGGGGACAGGAAGGCCCTGGCATGGGCAGGACCTCCTGAAACTACGAGTGACTGGCTGTAAGCTTAGACTGGCACTATGCACAGAAGACAGGAGTCCTTGGTGGACAGTAGCCTTTAAGAGTGTTATTGACTTACAGGGAGAGGTATGTGAAGGAATCCCCGTGTTATAATCAACCTGTACAGACTCACAGAACAGAACTTTTCTAAGGAGCCCAAAGCAAAAGAATTAGAAGCCACTGTTTAGGTTTGGCCTGGTTTTTTCATTTGTTTGTTTCTGGATTTTGAGATTGAGTTTCATGTAGTCCTGGCCAATGTCAAGTTCACTGTGTAGTCAAGGATGGTCTTGAACTCCTGATCCTTCTGTTTCTACCCTTAAGTGCTGGGTTCACAGACATATAATCCCATGCCTAACTACTACTATGATTTGTGAGTAGCATGTCCAGGCATTTTCAGACCTGGTCCCCAGCAAGTGGTACAATTTTTGGAAGATTGACATGGGCTTAGCAAGGCAAAAAACCGACTATGGTTTAGGGGCCGCCCTTGAAGAAGTTATAGCTTTATCCCTGCTCTGTCTTGAGCTCTCTGATTTTTGATCTGTGATGTGACCCAGCCACCTTAGGCTCTGGATGGTACCAATTAGATCTGTTTTCTCCTCCACACCTTCCCCACCACACATTCACATAAAACTATGAGCAAATATAAAACAGTCCTTCCTGAGTCGTTTCTGCCACAGTGAAAGTGAGAAATTTGACAAGCAGTTATCAAGGAGGACAGCATTAGCCATCCTCAGTTAAAAAGCAGTGTGGCGTAATACTGCTTTTACATAATACACAGCAACCAAGAGTCCTATTGACACTGAAGCCTGGCCCTGATCCAGGTTTGGCAGCCTGGCCTATGAGACGTGGCATTCTCAGAGCCCTGGTTGCTCCTCTTTAGATTGATTAAAAGACTGATCATAAGGAGTGATACTTAGTATCTCTTATGTAATGAATGTTCAGCAACTATTCAAAAGCTGTTATTACTTCCATTTTCTAATTGCTCAAATGATTGAAGAATTGGCACTGGTCAGCCTAATTGACACAAAGGGACAGAACTAGAGATGAAGGCCAGCACTCTGCCATGCAGAAGCTTTCTCTTCCATCTTTTCTCCCACTGCCTCTGGTAGTTGCTAGAGGTGTATTCTGGTTTCCCTCGCTGTCTTCCCTCTGAAAAAAAATGCCTCTCTTTTGCCTTACAGAATTCTCCAATTTCGCCTATATAAAAAAAAGTTCAAGGAGACCTTGAGGCCTTATGATGTGAAAGACGTGATTGAGCAGTATTCCGCAGGACATCTTGACATGCTTTCCAGAATAAAGTACCTTCAGACGAGGTAATACATTCGAATAGAAGGGCCTGTGCTCTCTCAGCTGCGCAGGGATCCATGTCAGAGGACCATAGAGCTTTAAGAGACAGGCATTCAGAAGTAATCCAAAATACATCTGAGGAACTTCAAGAATGGAAGTGCCCACTGAGCATTGTGGGTATATGAGCCAATAAGTTTTACTCTCAGACTCGGGCTTGGCAAGGTATAGAGAGTAATGAGACCATGGTGACCAGAGGCTTCTGTCCCTTCTAAAGGAGATGATGGTTACTATGTTCTATTTAGTCCTGTTTTTTTTAAAGATGCCCTGAGGCATTGGCATGGCCAGTATCAGCTCCCTGTTGGGCTTCATGGAGAAAAGAAGTTGTGCATCTGTCCAACCAGTTGCTGACTATGGTGTTTTGGATAACCATAAAACTCACATCATTTAGACAGTTCAGCTAATTTATTCTAAGTATAAAATTTCAACCACGTGTTAAAATTTTAAGTGTTATGCATAGTGGTGAAAACACAGAAAAAAATGGAACCATTTACAGAGTCTTTTTAAAAATAATGTCACACTTTTATTAAATTCCTAAGTATTTTACATATGTATAAATATATAGGAGCCGTTAGGATCCTATAAGGTTCTTATCATATAACAAGTGCCCTAATAATGATGGGGAAACCAAAGCTGTTAGGACAGAAGACTAAGTCACAATTGTCCATTTGAGAAATTGAAAGCACAGCATCAATATATGTATGTCAATGATGCATCATCATGAAACTAGAAGATGAACTTTGCCTGGATCCAGCAATCATATGAACCAATGTGCTGTGTGTGTATATGTGTGGGGTTAACACAAAAGTGGACACATGTTGGCTCAGAAATACACATGGCATGCATGAGGTCATTCCATCATATGAGAGACCTGAAAAGAAACTGACACAATTCAAGGTGACTTGGGCTTCCTCTTCCTTATCCAATCAATGTCCCCTCATTGGAGTGTCCTCCTGACTTAGTTGGAGCACTGTACCAATGAGGCTGTGCAGTATACATAGACTTGCAAGTATGTTTATTCATGACTTTTTTTTTGCCTCTCACAGAGTAGTAGATAGCAAATTGGGGTTCAATGCCTGCTGACCAAATGTATGGTGTTTAAACAAGTTTACATTCCTCCATGCTATCAAGTATGGTTGTCCGAGAGACAGAGGAAGACAGCATGCTGCCAACAACAATCATGACTCCAAAAATATCAGTCAGTTTTAGCGTTTACAGAATAGGCAGCTACACTGTCATGATTTTTGATAGTTATCAAAAAATGTGTTCCTGGAGATTATGGTTAGAGGTTATCTGCCAAGGTGATGAATTGCATAATCCCCACCATATATATACTTCAGTAGGTCCAACAGGAAGGAGGGATGACTTCCCAAGATGCCCTGAGTGTCTGTTGGAAATGAAGCTGAGTTGTCAGAGGAAAATGTGGCCCAAGGTTATTCCTGAACGCATCTTAGTGGTCATCCTGATAACCCCACCTCTGTCCCTGCCCCACATCATGATGAACAACATCTTTCTGTTGAGTGGGGTGTTGAACAGAAATGGTAGCAGGGTGTTGGAGCTGTGGTTAAACCATCCTTACATGCATAGCATCGGAGGTCTGTGCAGCTGAAAATGGAGTCTGGAGTCTGACAGTTAAACCACTCTAATTAGGTAGTTTGGGGATGAATAAAAGTACTGGAAGATTAGGTGGGCTTGGAGCATATGTGTGGCATTTGCTGTAAGAAATAAGACATAGCTCTCACCCTAATTCTGTAGATTGTCTCCCTCTGCTTTCCCAGGAATGAGAAAATGCTCTTGCACCCCAGACTGAAGAAGACATCGATATCCTGGCTGGCAGTTTCTCTCCCTTTGTGCTCACTCTGTCTCATCCTCTAACTTTCCTCCCTTTCTTACACATTCCAAACCCACATTTGAATTAAGAAATGTAAGAATTTACGTTCTCTTCATGTCATCTAATCTCTTGTTGTTTTGTGTTTCTTCTTCTTCTTCTTTCAGAATAGATATGATTTTCACCCCTGGACCTCCATCCACTCCAAAGCATAAGAAGTCTCAGAAAGGCTCAGCATTTACCTACCCATCCCAGCAGTCTCCAAGGTGGGGCATGTGGTTTTGAACTGATGAACTGTTGAGCACAAGGCCTGTGCAGTGTATCTATCCCCAATCCCAGCCTGGGTCCTTTATGTGGGTGTTGTTTCCCTCCCGAGTTGGAAGGCTGATTCAAGTTGTGATCATTTGAAAATCCTCTATACAGCTAACTTCCTGCCCCTATTCCAAGAACACATAAATAATACTTATTTTTATGGTTTTTAGAATAGGAAATAACCAGTTTTCTGGTTACAAAGCAAGAAGAAATTCATAAGATTTGTTGAAACAGAGAGCATATGCATTCTTTGTCAGCTGATTTGTGTTCTCCTGTACAGTGCCCTGAGGGTCAAATGATATCCCTTCCCAGAGTGAGAGAAGGCATTCAGATGCCAGGCCCTCTAACACCACTGTAAATCAGAGAATTCTCACTCCAAAATGTATTTTTACAACTTTCAGCAAGAATTATTCTTTGTAAAGTCCATCATTTGCATTTGCACCTCTTTGTCCCTAAACATCTTTAAGGCAAACAAGACAAGTGAGTGATGGACGATTATGCACTTACTTCTTAGAAGGAAGCTTGTTATGGTGAAAGAAGCCATCTTCAGCCTTAGGCTTGGCCTGAAAAAAAGAATAGTGGGACCCAAAGCTGCTGATTCTTCTACTGGGAATAACTGTTCCAATGTTCTGTTGTAGCTAAAGTTAACAAAGAGTCCTGATTTCATATCATCCATTTTTAAATAAATATCTTTTAGAGAATTGTACTCTTATACATTTCTATCTGTTTTATTTTAATTGATTAGTGAATTAATTTGGAGGCTTTGTATTGGTTTGATTTTCAGTTTTGGGACAGTGTCTCACTACATAGCATAAACTGGCCTCAAACTCTGTGACCCATATTGGTCTTAAACCCATGCCAGTCTTTCTTCTTTGGGATTGCAGGCATGCAAAACTACAGCCAACTAACAACTTCCTCATTTTTGAGATAGTGTTTGGGGCTGTTTTAAGAATTTTTTCAGAGTCCAGCGCGATAGTTCACACCTGTAGTCCTGGCTCTTGAAAAATGGACACCAGAGAGATCTTGAGTTTGAGAGTACCCTGAGGTAGAGAGGAGATCCTATCTCAAAACAAACAGAATTAATATTTCTGTGGCCCATTTCCAATGAATTCTCACATGTAATGTTCTAGCAGACCTCCAAAGTGGGCTCTTTATATCACTCATATATATAATAAGAGTGATATTGGAGGGAGGAGACCACTTGTTTCCAAGCCGCCCAACTGCTTAGACCTGAGAATAATTACACAGAAACTGTATTAATTAAATCATTGCTTGACCCATTAGCTCTAGCTTCCTATTTGCTAACTCTTACATTTTAATTTAACCCATCTCCTTTAATCTGTGCATCACCACAAGGTGTGGCCTACCAGCAAAGTTTCATTATATCTGTCATCTGTCTCCGGCAGCAGCTCCATGGCTTTTCTCTGACTCTACCTTCTTCCACCTAGCATTCAGTTTAGTTTTCCCCACCTAGCTAGGTTCTGCCCTGTTATAGGTCCAAAGCAGTTTCTTTATTCATTAATGGTAATCACAGCATACAGAGGGAAATCCCACATGATAGTGACGCTAAGAGATATTAATTCCTGAAATCAAAAACTAATAAGAGAAAGTGTCTGGTTTTGACAGAAGACTGTAACTATGAGAAACTTGTCTCATGAGAATTTGTAATATAAGTAAACATTTGCCCAGAAAATAGGTGAAAGGACACTCAAAACACTAATTTCCCCATACTCACTAATGAATTTTAATTAAACATCAAATTGAATGTACCTATGGAGGACAAATAAAACATGGTGGGCTGGATGTAGCACATGGCCACTAATTTTTGAAATTTGCGCCAGTTGAAGACTGTTCAGACAAAGAAGTAACTTAGTAGAGACAACAGCATAGGAGCGTGAAAAAATCAGCTGTCAAAAGAAAGTCCAACCCGAATGGATTTTAGCAACAGCAAGTGTCTCCAAACCATCTCATCTCCACATGGTATAAACATAATGGAATGAACTGGAATTTGTGCAGCTCATACTGTACATAAAGAGAAAATACAACCTTCCCCTGGTTCCTGCAACATCATTCCAGCAATGCTTTTCAGATTCAGTAGGTGTTTGCCATTCTAAACGAAATGGAACAGATGAAATGTGTATCCATACTCCATATAATTTCAGAGATGAGACAGTTCCTCCTTCATCCCCACAGGGCAAAAGCGCTGAGATTGAAAGGTAAAGAATTTAATTTAAAGGAATAAACACTCTAGGCATTGTTAGATACTTGATAACACAAAAACAAAGCCTCCTTCACCACAACTTCCAGTCTGTTTTCATAATTCCTTGCAGGGAAGGCAAGTATGCGATCCACAGTCCTGACTAAACATGTGAAAATAACCCCCTTTGTCAGCCTGTGTGAGAACCATGGTCCCATACGCATGGTCTCCCAACTTAAACTGACTTTTCACGATGAAAACAAATGCAATGATCTTATGAAATTTTGGTTTTTCTTTAGGAATGAACCATATGTAGCCAGAGCAGCCACATCAGAAACTGAAGACCAAAGCATGATGGGGAAGTTTGTAAAAGTTGAAAGACAGGTAAACCTCACCAAAATGATAATATGTAAACTTATTTTCTTTTTTAGATTTATTTATTATTTTATGTGTATAAGTGTTTTGCCTGCACATTTGTATATGCGTCATGTGCATGACTGATTTCTGAGGAGGTTCCTGGAACTAGAGTTATAGATGCTTATGAGCCACCCTGTGGATCCTGGGAACTGAACCCAGGTCATACATAACAACACTTGCTCTTAATTGCTGAGCCATCCTTCCAGCTCCATAGAACTTATTTTTAGATTCCATTTTATTCATATGGAGATAAGGCATAAGAAATATCACCTACCACTATAGAAAATATGGAAATTAATTCCCTAGTTTTGCTTTTACTGGCTGGATGATCACCTGCAAGTTAATTACTGTTTTGAACCTCGGGTTTGCTTGTCTGTCAAACAGGGAATTAAATACATCATAAAGTTGCCGTGAGGAATAAATGAGTTGACCCATGGGAGTTACTTAGAATGTTAGCTGTGTGCAGTGAATAGTCAACAGCTGGTCACCGCTGTCCACCACATGCTTCATGGTCGCCCCTTTACAGATGTTAGCTCTCTACCCATTGTTTCATGTTCCTTTCTGCTCTCTTTTGCTCTAATTCCAATCCGTGGGTAACCTTCATGAGTTGGCCTAGCAGGAGGCCAAATTATGGGAAGGGCATTTGGAGTACCAGGAAAGGCTCACTCACTGCACCCCATGTAGTTCATCTCTGTAGTCCACTAGATGAATGACTCTATCATTTCCCTCCACAACACATGTCAATCCTTTTATCCACCCCCTAAGACTAGATCCATGTATGGGAAATGGAAGAAAATCTCAATGATTGGTCTCTTGCATCTTATTTTTTAATTTTAAAATACGATCCTCAAGATCACATTTACAGGCTCTATGACCTTTCACAGGTTGTCATCTCTCTGGTCACTCCTTCATCACCTGTGAAACAGACATTACCGCAGCCTTCATGTTGTAAGGTTGTGACCGTTAAGTAAGTCAGTAAAGTGCATAAAATAAAGTCGCATAGCTGCTGCCGAAGTGTCCCTTAAAACTATGGCTCAGATGAAACCTTAGCTGCCACCTGTCCCAACTCTCACAACCTCATCTTTCCAATGAGGTTATTTCCTTACCTGATTTGGTGAACCGTGAGCTATCTGAGGCGGAATATCATATGCAACAATGCACACACTTGTGTTTATGCACAAATGTTAATTGTCAGGGAAGAAACATCTGTCTTACACATAGATGCGCACACACTTGTACATCCCTGCTGACAAACATTCAAGCTTAGGAATGCCATAACCAAAGCAGAAGCAGCTTCCATCATTGCCTGAGGGCCCCTATTGGGTCTCTAGGTCTGGAAAACTCCATTAATGCCGACACTGGCCTCTAGAACTTGCATTACCAGGTATTAATAACAGACACTAATAACCATGTGCTTGCATATGAGGAAAGTCTCAAAAAACAAGAACTCCTCCACTCCTTCATTGAGTTAGTAGTACCGCCTCTTCCAGGGGAGGACAATGAAAGCCTGGAACACTTAACCTAATCTCAACCTGTCGGTAGGATTCTGGTCTTTGACTCTAGGGGACATCCTTGCCTGTGTATTTCTGCATGGGTGTTGCTATATGCATGGGACCTTTTGCAGACATCATGGAGTCAATTAGAGCTGCTGTTATTATTGGAACCTACAAAGCATCGCTTCTGAGAAGCAATGGCTGAGTTGACGGTGACCCTCATTCCCCGAGGAGCAGTGAATCCAGGTGCTTGTGTTTTCCAGGTTCACGACATGGGGAAGAAGCTGGACTTCCTTGTGGACATGCACATGCAGCACATGGAACGCCTGCAGGTCCATGTCACGGAGTACTACCCGACGAAGGGGGCCTCGTCCCCGGCAGAAGGGGAGAAGAAAGAGGACAACAGGTATTCTGATTTGAAAACCATCATCTGCAACTACTCAGAGACAGGCCCCCCAGACCCACCCTACAGCTTCCACCAGGTGCCCATCGACAGAGTCGGCCCCTATGGGTATTTTTCACGTGACCCTGTGAACCTGACCCAAGGGGGACCCAGTTCGACAAAGGCTCAGCCCACCCTTCCCTCCTCGGGAAGTACATATGCAGAGAGGCCCACAGTTCTGCCCATCTTGACTCTTCTGGACTCGTGCGTGAGCTACCACTCGCAGACAGAACTACAAGGCCCCTATTCGGACCGCATCTCACCCCGCCAGAGACGCAGCGTCACTAGGGACAGTGACACGCCTCTGTCCCTCATGTCCGTCAACCACGAGGAGCTGGAGCGGTCTCCGAGCGGCTTCAGCATCTCCCAGGACAGAGATGATTATATGTTTGGCCCCAGTGGGGGATCGAGCTGGATGAGGGAGAAGAGGTACTTGGCTGAGGGGGAGACGGACACAGACACAGACCCCTTCACGCCTAGTGGTTCTATGCCTATGTCATCCACTGGGGATGGCATTTCGGATTCTATATGGACCCCTTCCAACAAGCCCACTTAGAAAGGGTCACTGGATGACTCCTGGTACTGTAGACAGACTTTGTACAGCTCACTTACTCTCACGCCTAGCACCTACCATGGTGTAAGTGGCTGTGTCAAGCGCATGCATGTGCGCGGTGGCCCCCCCTACAAGCAGGGGCTTCTCACAGCCTTCTTCCTCCCTGTGTCACTGCAACAGAGTCGCTTCCTTTTCAGCATGGTTTGCATGACTTGACACTATATAAACGGCACTGTTAGTCTCTTCTAGATACACATTTATCTGCTCCTCTTACTTTCAATCATGATCGAACAAGTACAGGGAGACTTATTGGTGAGCTGTGCTATTTGTTTGGTTGGCTGGTTTGGGTTTTGATTTGGATAAACTGAGAGCATAGTTTAAGTTATTTCTAGGCTCCCTTCCCCTTTGTGTAAAATGCTCCAGTTAAATCAACTGTTCTCTAAAGCAAGGAAATAATTTTCTCAATCAAAACATACAGTGCATTCCAATGAGGCTGTCTACTGAGCAAACGGGAGGACAGGAACAAGATAGTCAATCAACACCCAAAGCCAAGATTTTGAAAATCATTTTACTAATGGAAGGCTGGTAAAATTATTTAAACACTCCCAAAAGGACTTGGTCTACTGTTTTACAGTACTGTGCCTCAGCTTCCTCATCTGTAAGATGTTGGTGATCCAAAATATAACATCACACGTGTTTTGGATTGGTGAGGAGAAATCTTACATACATACCACAGACACAGAAAAAAATGGTTCCCAATTTACGTAGCCAAAGATAATGAAATTTACCAGAAGTGGGGTGCCCCCTCTAGGCAGGAGTTATATTTCATGTCCTCAAAATAAGTTTCCAACCCACTCTTCTGCCTGTACTTGAATCCAAAGTGGAAATTAGAATCAAGAGCGATCATCTTTCCAGGTCCTCTATTTAAAAGCGGGAGATTTGGGCACAAGTCAAGTAACATTTCATAAGACACTTGGTTGTCATGTGTAGAGTAAGGACTCCAAGCCGTCTGCCTGATGATGACTCACCCCTTGCCTGAGTTCCCCTCACATTATCCCATTTGCACACTGGGAAGCAGAAGTTGTGCCGAGACACCAGCACTCTTTATCCATGAGATATAATCTCCACTCTTTATTCAAAGCGAGGAGGGTATCTACTTTGAGTGCAAAGCATGCTCACGTGCTGCTTTGTCGGTGGGATCCAGGGTGGAGAATGCAAACTAGTTATGAATATGCAAATAGGAATCATTCACTTTTACTCCCTCCCTTCCACCATTTTCAAAAGGAAACTACTAGAACCACCCAAAGTCAAAAGAGTTGCTAGAGTGTCAGCCAACAGCCTAGAGATCCCTGCCCTACTGCAGAAGGATGGATTCTAAGCACAAGCCACCCTGTGGCCTCCTGGGAGGTATTGCTATGTGCTGAAAACCTCTGATTAAAAAAAAAAAAGGTTGAACTTTGGCTACTCTTGCTAGATCACTACGCCACAATATTAGTATCTCAGTCTTCTCATGTATCAAAACACTGGTTTTAAATCATTGCCATGGTGACCATTAAGGTGATAAAAATACCCTAAATATGTGTTTATATGCCAATGCTGTTGCTGTGTTGTCAAGATCCATAGATACCTTGGCAGACATCTGGCTGATGGTTTCATAAACTCCTGATCCTAGGATCCTGCCCTGTGTTTGGTAGAGATTCCTCAGCAATTGGTTTCTTTCAATCCACATGCTGAGATTGGTCCTGTACAAAGTACTGAGAATAAGTAATGATGAAAGCTTGTCCTATGATATAGGTACTTAAATCGAAATCTTTCAATTCCACGAAGTATGACAACACTGAGAATGGTAAGGAATAGCTTTCATGGATGGTATCATGAAAGGATATATGGGTAATGACCTTTAAGTTCAAGGCAGGCAATATATTAATATAGTCACACACATTGGATACATACCCTTGTGGTTTGCAAATTGACTTTCTGACAATCTGAAAGACAAAGGCTGTGGCCCTGTCTTCCCAGTTCTTTCAATATGACTTCAGAGGTGCCACTGGGACTATAAAAAAAACTTACACCTCTTCCAAGGGACTTGATTCTTGAATCTGACTTTCCTAGAACTTTTTCAACAGAAATAGCTGTCTATCTAGCACCAAATATATGCTACCCTTCTTTATGTGTATGAGATTGGGTGGAAGTTAGAGAACAATATGTACCGTGTGATTTTTTTTCCTAACACACTCACATTCCTTCAGAACTTCCTAACATTTGTATGTTACACATGGAGGCATTTCTTCAGGAGTTCTGTGGAGTTCTTGGGCAAGAATTCTGAGAACTGAAGCTTGCATTGTTTTGCAAGCAGGCTATAAGTAAGCATTCTTGTTTTCCTGATGATTCAAAATCAGAGGGGCAGAAATTAGTTTGGTATTGATTATCAGCTTAGCAGATGTCAGTTGTCTGTATCAGATAGACACAGCCAGATATATAGTGTGTAAAGGACTGCTGTGGAGAGCCCATCTAAGAGAACAAACAGAAGAGTCCTTCTACCATAATATTCATTTATAGAATTCTACACCAGTGAACAAAACCTACTCATCTAAACCTGTTGGTATACTGCATGGTCACCATGGCTACCATTGAGGATGCAGACGTTCTAGTCCTGGGGCTGAAATGATGGTGTATGTCCCATGAAGATCTTTTGTAAGTCTAGAAAAAAAATCTAAGGACAGAATAATCCTAAAGAATTGGATAACATGTACCAAAAATCATGCAAGTAGCTCTGCAGCTTGCTGAGGAATTCCCAGCAGTTTTTGCAGAAACCTAGAAATACTGACAAGCTAATTCCATCACAAGAACTGGGAATAGTTTTCTTAGGTAAAAGGATAATCTCATTTTATATATTTGGCTGCAATGCTTTAAAATGTAGTACATTTAAACTTTTAAGAAGTAGGGATGGAGGTATAGCTCAGTGGTAGAATACTTGCCTACCATACAGAAAGTTCTGGCTTTGATTCCTAGCATGGCACAACACACACATACAGACACACACACACACACACACACACACACACACACACACACATGCATGCACACACATTTGGGGGATGAATCCTAGCAAGATAAAAATGAATGAGAGGAATCAATGCTATTTAAAAGCTAATTATATTGGGCTGAATAAAAGTCAGTTTAAGTGTGAAATTTGATTATTAAATATTATACAGGTAAATACTAAAATCATACAAAGACTGAAATTGTGGGAGAAAAAGAAAATATTGAATTGAGAAAACTCTTCAATAACTATTTTTAAAACTTAGAATTCAGACCTACTAAATATGACACTGATGTTTTGAAATCTTATTTTAATGAAGTAAATAGAGAATACCAAAGTATATAGGTAAAACCAAACTAATTAACTAACAATTATGCAATTATGTCTTCTCATATGCTTTATGTACAAAGCAGTTCCTAGATATCGTAACTCAAGCGTAAGCATCCTTTGAAAACATGGCATAACAGAATCTACTCACAATTTGCAAAAATAATTCTCATAATTTTATGCTATACTGAGAGTGTAATAAAGAAGTATTCATTTGGTTATTTCATTTAGCAAGATTTATGAGGTACCACTGAACACCAAGGATTGTGCAGCAGAAATGCAGAGACCAGGAATCCGGTTTCTGTTACAAGAAAGCTGGTGGCTTCAACCGTCATTGATCCTTTTAGACTTTTCCTACCTGATTTTCTATCTGCAGACAACTGTCTACTAATAATGCCTCCCAGAGGGGAGAATTGGAAGTTCAACACAGAAGAAACTGGAAGCAAAAGCACTGAATCAAAATGAGGATGATCCTGTCGCCTCAGAGAAGGCAGAGATCATTGAATGGAGAATTTACTTTTGGGTTCATCACTTTGGACTCTAAAACACCAAATAAGTGATGTAAGCGTGTGGGCTCTGAGAAAGGTTCCTGAAGAAAGTATCCTTCTCCATATCCCTGATGCACTGGAGGCCTGGCAAGTAGCTGAGACATCTGTCTCACCATATTGACCAAAAATGCCTTGGTACAGGTCATGGCACAACATCTATTCGAAAAGAAGGAAGTCACTTTGCCAGTGAGAATCTGCAGATCAAAATCCTTGGAGGAAAGAGAAGAAATGATCTCAGAAGTCAACTTTACTTTTGACAAGGCTGCCACATAGACCCTGATTCCCACAATACATTGCTACCCCAGATGATGCTGCATAGAGTAGACCCTCTTTGGTTCTCATGAATATGTTCCCAAGGCACCCAGGACCATTGATATTTTCATTGCTTTAGAGTTTGGGGGTATCCTTAAGAATTTATCTTTACTTGTCTTCAAAAACATGCTGTTGCCAGCATGAGCTTTAACCTACATATGTTTTCTGCATCAAAAAAAGAGAAAACATTCAAAATTCTCATGCCGCTTTTACCCTATTCAAAACTGAGCCGTCTATACCCTAAACATGACAGCAGATAGCAACTCAGTAGTTCCCAGCTTCAGAAATGTTAAAGACTAGAACACTTATGAAGCTTTCATAGGTTTTGAAATCATGGAGTGATGATGATAGCGTCAAACAAATGAAAGTATATTGAGATGACTTGTATAAAAATTTGAGTTTTGAGACATTCAAAACCATTTCATTCTATTTCCAATTTCAGTTGAGACAATCAACTCTGTATAAAGCCCTTAGTACAGTAACTGGACTGTACCAAACTGTCCATGATTATTCATGTCTGTTTTTACAGTATGTGTATGCTCCATAACACTGATGACTGATATTACCTATGGACTCTTAAGTTTACAACAGAAAATATTTTTTTAGAAAAAAAAGAAGCTGGTGGAGATATATTCTAAATTATTGCATGATAAAACTAGGCATTTTTTTCAGTTGCTCTTTAACCTTGTACCTGTCTGCATCATGATTCTTTTTTTCCCATCACATTATAGAAGATAAGGAATACTGGAAGGAGCATTAGGAATGCTGGTTCTCGGTAGGTATGTGCTGAAAGTGCTGTTGAAGAGAGTGCTAGATGTAGCCATATTCTCTTTAAAACACTACTTATAGGAGATACAGACAGAGAGAACTAATTAAATATAAAAGGAAAGTCAAGTGTTGCCTGATGGCTACCAGTAGCACCCTTTCTGTGAATGGGACATCTTCAGGAAAAGGGTCCAAACTTGTTCCAGTTCTTCCCTGTGGATGTGATCTCAGACTTCCATGGTCTCATTTCAGTCTCATATCTCTGATCCCTCTAGGATCAGATGTACTTGCACAGAATTGAGGAGATACAATTTCACAGACTGTAAAATGCTCAGAGCAAGACCTTGGTCACCCATATTTTTTTAGGGCAGGGCATAAATGCTCAGAGGACAGGGGCCTTAACCAGGTCTCATGATATTAAAAATAAAGATCAAGGAGCAGAGTGAACCTAGATCTCAGGTCTCCTTACCCTTGGTCCAGATGTTGACCCCAGAAAATAAATAACAATTTCCTGCCTCTCTTGAGAAACAGCTGAACCAGAAATAATTTCTGAGAGCATCACCCTAGGGGACTCTAGAATAGGACTGATGTTCCCAAGTCCTGAAGATGTCCCTTCTTCTGAATATCTCATCATCAAAGGGCCCAGAGAAACCTTGTGTTGTTGAGTATAGTTAGGTAAAGACAGAAAAACAACCTTTCAACCATGTCCATGACTACTGTACCCACCATTATGACTATTCTTGCATTGTCTCTTATTGTGCCAAGATTGAACACAAGATTTGTCCATCCCATGAACTCATTCAGCTCCACTCACACCTTGAGTTGTATCCTCAGATAGAGGTCCAATGAATGAGATTTCTCTATAGATGTGATTTAAGTAGGACCTGATTTCTTTGGGAATCTGACGTGGCACAAGCTTCTGGTTCTATCAAAGGTAACGTTGTGTACCAGAGTATCTGGGTTTCAGCTGAGCATGCCTGGTTCTTCTCCCTTTACACCAGGGAATCCCCATGCTTGCCATTTCATAGACAGACACTCTGGGCCCTTGTCATAAACTTCCTACAATCAGTTCTGATTAAAATATATCGTGTCTGTATAACTGTGATAACACCTTAGGGAATAAGCTGGTCTTCGTGACTCATGTGCAGATCACTAGAGTTTCCACTTGGGCTGTGTTTAGATTTGCCAGAATTTGGCAGTGTTCCCCCAGAATTTGTATGAAGTCCATTGGTAAGATAGGCTGTGTTGGCTGATCCAAAGCTCCTGAAGGAATCAAAGAGAAAAGTGGCACATTATTGGATGGATTTCTTTGACTGCATTATTTTAACAATTGACATTCTGCCTCAGTCTTTTTTCCCTCTTAACAGCATTCCTCTGGGATTGAAGTAAGTGTTAGGAAAATTAGTAATTTTTATCATAGTAAAAAAAAAAGCAAAACAAAACAGATATATATATGTGTATATATATATATATATATATATATATATATATATATATATATATATAAAACCTAAGAATGGCTTAAGTTAATTAACCACACCTAGCCGAGTACTTAGGAATATACCAACTAAAATTGGAAACCTAAGAGTTCTAAAAACAAAAGTTTGGTTTCAATGCTCTGTTCTCTAACTCTGCCCACAAAACTGAGGTCTGGGAAAGGAAAACAGTTCTCACTAAGTTCTTCTTAGGAGTTGCAGGCATGAGATATAACTTCTCTATATTACCTGCATGTGGCATCCTTAATGCAAACCCACTTAGGGGCTGCTGTTGGCTGCACAGAAATTGAAGCTGAGTGAAAGACAGCTGCCTAGATGTCACATATTACGAAAGAAAGATCTTGGATTTTACACAAAACCATGGACCTCAGAAGCTCAACCTATCCCAGCCCCAACACCATTTCTCCCAGGTAGTGGAACTGTTACCCGGTCAGTCTTCATGGTCCCTAAGAAGACATTTCCCTCCTCTGTGCAGTCGGCTTTTCAGTGAAATGATTGTGTGTCCACCCATGCTCCCTAGGGAAGAAGGGTGACTGTGTCAGCTTCCCGCTGCTAGTCAGCAGGTCCTTTGAATGTTTTCACAATCCAGCTGTCGGAGGCAGAAAGTGATGCCACATAAATTATTCACAGGGTTCACATTGGAGTCCATTAGCCCTTGGAGTTTGGTGGCCACAGATATTCCCACAAACACCCTTTGTTCTCTGCGGCCCCCCCCCCCACGATTCTCTGTCACTGTGTTTATCTGAATGAGTTCAAATGTGTCCCAGTGTCAGCCGGCTGTCATCTTCTGCCTCTAGATTGCATCTTTATTTTAGGGCTTTGAAATATTGTGCGGACACAAACTAGCCTTTAGAACATGTTCTCTGAGAGGTCAAACAGGAAAATCAATTGTGTCTCCATGTCTCAATATTAAGAGAACAGGAATCTGTATGGACACCAAATGGATATCCTAACAGGGCCGTTCTTTACCCCCTCTGAATCCATTTCCAGGGAATGGGAGACCAGCTCCAGGCTTCAGCCCTCGCTGGGGGCTAAGCAGAGGATTTGGACAGCCCTTCAGTCAAACAGCAGGCGTAAGCTGTTAGAGAGAGAGCCTGTGCCTGGTTCTGAAAAGCCTATTTAGGTTGGATGCAGGTTTTCAGATTTACCAGTCCTTCCTGTTTTAAAAAGAGAAAAAAAAATCTCTCTCATGATGATGGGCTATGAATTTTACCCTCCCTGCCCCCTCTTCCTAATGCAGCAGTGATGGGAAACACCGACTGTGGAAGAACAAATTGAGGTTTCCAATGATATGAACCACTGTATTTGATTTTAGGTCGTATTTTTCTTTCACCCCTTTTGATGGCATAGAATTCTGGTGCCTTGCCCCCTGGGTTTGTCTCTGTGCTATGAGTAGGCTCTCCACATTCTGGCTGACACGGGAACACAACTATTCCACAAGTGCCCTTTAGCGCTCTTTATAATATGCTTTCCTGTAATTTTTAAACTGTATGTGTAATTTATATTCTGATTCTGTCCAATATTTGACAACTTTAATAGGTTGATTTCCATATATATATATTATGCAAACAATTCTTACCTGATTTTTTTATGTTCTATCTCAAGATCAATAAAGATTGCACCACTTATTAATAAGCAGATGTTCCAATGATTCTGTGAAAAATGTCGCAGAAATGCTTCAGAATGGCTCTTTGGGGGCTGTATTACTGAGGGTCAAAGGCTTTGTTGGTGCGGCAGAGAAACCCTACAAATACTCATGGCCAAACACAGCAAAGATCTTGCCCAAATGAAATTCCATCATACACTGTCTCAATGCTTACGAGTGATACAAAGATTTAGGGAACTTCTAACATGGACTATACTTATTCCAGCATGGAATAAACCCAGTTATCTCCAGCCACCACGCCCAGCCAAAAAGGAGAAAATGAAAAAGTCATACCATCCTCTAACTGCCTGGCATTCAATGACTAGTTCTTTCTAGTCACGTTTTCATTGACCAGATTTTGTCCCATGGTATTGACAAAACTGCAATGTATATTGGGATTTTTAGTCTTCAGTAGAGCTCAGCCTGAAGAACTGATATTAATGCTAGAATGTTCCCCTAGAAGTGACTAAAGTTACAAAAATACACATGACAACAATTATTTTTCTGAATTTGGCAAGAATTGTCTTCTTATTGGTGGTGTACATATCAATCGTGACATAAGGACACGTGCTCAACTATGTTCATAGCAGCATTGTTTGCCATAACCAGAACCTGGAAACAACCTAAATGCCCCCAATCCAAGAATGGATAAGGAAAATGTGGTACATTTACACAATGGAGTACGCCACAGCAGAAAAAATAACAACATTTTGAATTTTGCAGGCAAATGGATGGAGCTAGAAAACATCATTTTGTGTGAGGTAACCCAGACACAGAAACACAATTATCACATAAATTCACTCATAAGTGGTTTTTCAACATAAAGCAAAGAAAACCAGCCCACAAATCACAATCCCAGAGAACATAGACAATGTTCTCAATGAGGACCCTAAGAGAGACATACATCAATCTAACCTACATGGGAAATAGAAAAAGACAAAATCTCCTTAGTAAATTGGGATCATGAGGACCATGAAAGAGTGTTGAAGGGGAGGGGAGAAGCAGGGAGGGGAGCAGAGAAAAATGTAGCACTCGATAAAAATCAATAAAAAGGGGATGAAAAAAGATCTGACACAAAAAGAGAAACTACAAGACTTCTTTTTTTCCATTCAAAATTTCCACTTCCTTGCCTCCTCCCATTCTCCTCAAGCTCCCCCACTCACCCTCCTCCCTCCCCCTCCAGTCCTAAGAGAGGGTAGGGTACCCTGCCCTGTGGGAAGTCTAAGGCCCTCCCCACTCTATCCAGGCCTAGAAAGGTATGCATCCAAACAGACTAGGATCCCAAAAAGCCAGTACACGCAGTAGAAACAATTCCCAGTGCCATTGTCAATGGCTTCTCAGTCAGCCCCTATTGTCAGTCATATTCAGAGAGTCCAATTTGATCACATGCTCGTTCAGTCCCAGTCCAGCTGGATGGTGAGCTCCCATTCGATCAGGCACACTGTCTCAGTGGGTGGATCAACCCCTCGCAGTCCTGACTTCCTTGTTCAACTTCTCCTTCCTTCTGCTCTTTAACTGGACCTTGGGAGCTCAGTCCAGTGCTCCAGTGTGGATCTCTGCCTTTATCTCCATCCAT